TCAGTGAGGTGGTGAATCCGCTCCTGGCTGGTACTCGATCGCGTTTTGATTTGCCTGAAGTCGGCCGGCGGTACCAGTTAGGTGCGGAGACGCTCTTCGAACCACCAGTGGTGGACGAATGCGTCTTTGCCTCAGTCACGTTAGGAGGGTCGTCTTCGTCTTCCCTGGCCTCGGCCAGGCAGGGCAGGCGTCTCCCCCCTTTTCGGCTGCAGTCGTCACTGCCGCTGAAGTCTGCCTACCGGTCATTCGAAGAATGTTACCGGTGCGCGGCTCAGCAACTTAAAGTAGCAGTCCATTCAGCCTACCTGTCGGCGTTGCAGGGACAGCTGGTGGCCCACAGCGCTGGCGGTGCCGATTCATCGGAGTCGGTGCTCGCCCGGCAGTTAACGGACGACACACGTTCGCATCTGGCTCGGGACAGCATTGATTGCTGTGCCAGCCAGATGATGAAGAGCCGCCATGGGCTTATGCCGCCTGTGGCTGTCTGTGGCGGTATTCGCCCGACCACACAGCAAGCTCTACTGTCATTGCCCTATACCATGGGATCTTCCCTGTTCCCTGGGGCCTTGCAGGTGGTAACGGGAGGTCGCGGAGGCTGTCTCTACCTTTAAGGACTCAAAGCCTTTGTTGGAGCAGCCCTCCGGCTCCCTCGCCATCGCCCTCCCGCTATGCGTCCGCTTACCCTTCTGCCTCGGCTTTAAGGATGTTAAGTGGGCTGCCCTTTGCAGTCCAAGCGCGGGCAGGCGACGAGAGGCAGGGGCAAGCCTGCTCCAGCCGCGCAGCAGTCTTTTTCAGGGCAAGGGGAAGCCAGCCCCGCTTCCCACTGATTTATTCCCCAGAGCCCTTGTTGCCCCCTACCACGCAGCGGAGACTTGCCGACGGTGGGGTGCACTGCCTCTTGCCACCGCGTCCCTGTCGGGCGTCGGCTGTCCCTATTCCTCCGGGAGTGGGAGGCAGCCACCTCAAATCCTGGGTCCTGTCCGGCTCAGGGATGGCCATTTGCCACAGTGGAGGCGCCGTGATCCTCCGTCCTTCTCGGGTTCGGCATGCGCCTGTGCCGACCCCATGACAAGGCGGAAGTCCTCCGCGTCGAGGTTCAGTCTTTACTGACCAAGGCGACCATCGAGGTGGTTCCGGTGGAGTCAGCGCAGAAGAGGGTTTTATTCCACCTACTTCCTCGTGACCAAAAGGACGGAGGGTTCAGACCCATTCTGAATCTCAGAGGGCTGAACAAATTACTGGAGGTGCCGCTTTCAGGATGGAGACACTCAGGTCAGTGATCTCCTCCCGTCGGTAGACAGGGGATTGGCTTCGTCAATCGATCTCAAAGACGCATACCTCCATGTTCCAATGCACTCAATTCAAGAAGTACCTCCGGTTCTCCTTCGACCGGGGCGTGCTACCAGTTCACGTGCTCCCCTTCGGCATCTCCACGGGCGCCAAGGGTGTTCACCAAACTTATGCTAATCCCAGCTCAGTTAGCCAGGTCTCGGGGCAGGTGTTGTCACCCGCACCTGGGCGATTGGCTTCTACGGGCCTTAGGGCCTCAGTTAAGCAGAGCCCCACACTGTGCGTGCTGGATACTCTGGTGTCACTGGGCTGGATTATCAATCTCAAGAAATCAGACCTCGCTCCGGCCGCAGGGATCTGATATTCTTGGGAGCCAGATTCAACACGCGCTTAGGGATTGTTTCCCTTGCTCGGACGCATCGTCAAAGTCCGGGGGACTGTGTTACAGTTCCTCCAGTACCCCCGTTCGTCGGCCCCTAACATGGCTTCGGTTGCTTTGCGGCAACATGGCGCGCACAGTGGACGTGGTTTGGCGCTTGGCGTTTGAGGATGCGACCAATTCAGCAAGCATTAGCTCAGCTGTGGTCCCACTCGCAGGGCTACGAGATTATGCTCATAATGCCAGAGTGGTTAATCCCTCACTTCGCGATGGTGGACGGACGCCGGGAATTTGTCCAGGGGATCCCTCGGACACCCGACACCTTCCCTCTCAGTTCAGACGGGGCGCCTCCCTCACAGGTTGGGGGTCCTGGCGAAGCACTCAGCCTCCGCCTCTGGTCGAGCGGGAGGTCAGCCTACACATCAATGTGTTAGAACTGAGAGCAGTCCGCAGGGTGTTCGAGTGCTTCAGGGTGTTGGTGCAGGGCGGTGGTTCGCCTCTAGAAATGGACAATCAAACGGCCATGTCTTCCATTCTCAAGCAAGGCGGCACAGTGTCTCCGCCGCCTCCTTCAGGAGGCGTGGCAGTTTCTACTGTGGTGCGATCAGTTCAACATTCGGGTTTTGCCTGTTTATCTCCCGGGGGTAGACAACGTCCGTGCAGATGCTCTCTCACGGCGTATACTAGCCCCACATGAGTGGATGCTCGACCGGGAGATATTCGGGATTATCTCCCAGTTGTTCGGGTCGTTCCAGGTGGATCTGTTTGCGTCTGGGGTGATGAACCAGATTCCTGTGTTTTGCTCCCGGATTCCGGATCCGGTGCGTTAACTCAACAGCGCCCTTTCAGCTAGATTGGACCGGACAGGGTACTGTATGGCGTTCCCGATACCACTGATTTCCAGGGTCCTGTCGCAGCTGACCGCACAACCAGCTCGGCTACTTGTGCTTCTGGCACCCCTTTGGTCGGCACAAAGCTGGTTTCCGGTAATTCTCAGGTTTCTGGCTCAGCCTCCTGTTCTATTACCTTTTTGACCGGACCTCCTATCCCAGAACGGAGCGCCCCACCCGAATCCCAGGATTCAGTGAGTGGCTTGGTCGCTATCCGGGATCGCCTCCATGCGAGCGGAATTCCTGCACCAGTTGCAGACACAATTCTGGCTTCGCGGAGGGATTCGACAAACGTTCAATATGAGGATAGATGGGCCTGTTATTCGCGCTGGTGTGTCAACAGGGGGATTCTTGATCCCTTTTCTACAGATTTAGTCTGTGTGTTGGAATTCCTCCAGCCGGTCTAGCGGCTTCCACTGTTCGGGGATATTCTACGGCTATTTCTGCGTTTCATATTCCTGTTGACGGTGCTCTCTTGGGGCAGCACCCTCTTGTACAGCGCTTTTTAGCAGGCGTGGACAGAATCCGTCCGGTTGTCCGACGTATTAGTCCCCCGTGGGACTTGTCAATCGTTCTTGATTGGCTGTCCGGTCCAATGTTTCACAATCTGTCGGCTCTTTCCCTCCAGCTGTTGACGTGGAAGACGGCGTTTCTTGTGGCGGTGACTTCTGGCAGGCGGGTTGGCGATATTCATGCAATGTCGGCCGATCCCGCGCTTACTGTTTTAGCATTCGGCTGCCTGAGACTTACCGTCCTAAGAAGGATAGTCCCTTCCATGTGACGGCGCCTATTGAGCTCCCAGCTTTCACTCAGCCTTCCCTGTCCGGTACCTCTCTACGACGTGCTCACGTCTTAGATGTCCGTAAAGACACTTCAGGCTTATATCAAGCGAACAAGGGTACCCGTAAGGGTAACCAATTGTTTTGTTGTTATGGCGGGTTCAGGCTGGTCTTCCGCTACCAAGCAGACCATTTCTCGGTGGCTTGTCTCTGCCATACATATGAGTTATACTCAAACAGGGCGATCCCGCCTGTTGGGTTGAAAGCTCATTCGTTAGGGCAGTGGCTACATCGACAGCTTACGCTGCAGCCCTGCCCATTGAGGAGATCTGCTCAGCGGCTATTTGGAGCCCTCCGGCACGTTCATCCGTCATTACCAACTTGGACAGACTCTCCAGTGGCGTGCCTCGATTCGGTCAGTCAGTTCTCCAGTGGGCATGGTTCCACCTCTCTAGCCGATTGAGCTTTCGGTGTTTTAAAAACATTATTGTGTGAACCATTATCTGCCAATTTTAACACTGGTGTTGGGTTTTACAAATCTTGTTACATTTTTCCCTTGGTGATGGGTTTTATGTGGTGCTGGTTTTTATTCCCATGTCTCTTGCTTTCTAACCTAGAAGCTCTAGACTAAACTGCCCTTGGAAACTTTGCTGTTCATATTCCGGCATTTCGCTTTCTGGGTTTATTAAGGGACCTTATCTTCACTTCCAAGTAGATTACGGGAAGGAGGGAGGGTGTGTCTCGCTTCGTTGCATTAGCGAGGTTTAAGCTGGACAAATTTGCATCGTTTACCCTGACCCTGGCTCATGCCCCGCCTGATTGGCTTTGGTGGACACGTGACCGGTAAGTGTGCCTTTTCTGCTATAATTAGCTTGGGAAATTCCACTTCTTGTCGGGGTGTTTAAAGCGGACAGAATGCCAGCTCCTGAGATCCGTCTTTAGAGTCTGTCTTATGCTTATAAGTACCCCAAGGAGGAATATATAAAAGAATCGAACTAACCTGTAGAGGTTTAAGATTCTTTGAATATATTCCTTCCTTGGGTATCTACCACCTCCTCCGCATTCTGTCTGACTTCGTTCAGCATGGAAAGTGAGGTACGAGGTTACGGTCTAGAGTTACCTGCTCTTGGCTGTAGGGGGCCGGAAGGCCCTGTAAGGGTGGTCTCACAAGACAAAACGTAGTTTTTGTTTTGTAAATATTTTATTCAAATATTGTTACAACTGTCGTAGGGAATTTAAATGGACATTTAAATGCTTATAAGTACCCCAAGGAGGAATATATTCAAAGAATCTTAAACCTCTACAGGTTAGTTCGAATCTTTATGTTATGGCGTACTCAATTTGTATCTGCAAGTGGACTTTAATTTTGTTTAATGATCAATTCAGAAAACTTGTGTAATTCCATAATGATGTATGACATACATGGTACATCTGTGATACATGGTAGATCGTTGATACATGGTACATCAGGTGACACATGGTACATCGGTGATACATGGTAGATCGTTGATACATGCCTCTCTATTGCAGGAACTTTTTAACCTGGGTTTTTAAGTAATGTAAAGGGGTTATTCTGGTGCAATTAAAATTTTACTCTTTGTAGGGAGTTTTGCCCCTTGAGTACCTGGGTGTGTCGCTGTGGGAACAAGCAGAGGGGCTATACGCTAATGCACAGCAGATACTGGCACAGTATCAGGTAGGTGAACAATCCTATTAGTTACACGATGATTTGAAAGGGTGTACAGGACTGTAAGACCCTTGTAAATTCCAGATTTCCTGAGGCACAGCCGTAGGAAATACCCGGAATGTACATGGGTTTACAGTAAGATCACCAGTAAGATCTTTTAATTTAGCTTTATCTTTAAACAACAACATTCTGCCCGAACGTTTTTCGCTTTGATTTTTCCTGAACGGTCATAAAGATAGTTTAATTTAGCTTATCTTTAAACAACAACTTTCTGCCGAATGTTTCGCCATGATTTTTCCTGAAATGTCATAAAGATCTTTTAATTTAGCTTATCTTTAAACAACAACATTCTGCCGAGTGGTTCGCCAAGATTTTTCCTGAACGGTCATAAAGGGAGATAACTCGGGATGGCTTAGTTTTTGATATAAATGATCGAATTTGAGTTTTCTTTAAAGGACAAGTGAAATACAGAAACATTTTATTTTTTGGATATATTAATTGACACAAACAAATAAGAAGTTATGGCAACAATTTTATTACTCTGTTTATACTCATAATTATATCCAACAACTCTAAAATTTCAAAGACCGCCTCCGTGGTGTAGTGGTTAGAGCGTCCGCCCGGAGAGTGGAAGGTCGCGGGTTCGATCCCCGACCGCGTCATACCAAAAGACGTTAAAATATGGTACTTGTTGGTCCCTGTTTGGCTCTCGGCATTAATGGGTACAACAAGGACTGGTCGGCTCGGAGTCAGTATAATGTGTCTGAGTGGGGTATTCATGCTTCACTGCGGCATGGTATCTCAGTGGGCTAGCACTATAAAACCAGCTTCAGTCTGGGCTAGTACAAGCAGCCGCACATACACATACACACGCATGCATGTCGTCATATGAGCGAAATATTCTCAAGAACAACATTAAACCCAATTTCACCTCACTTCACCTAAAATTTCAAGGCGATCATCCGTTTGGCAGCCACATTCCATCTGAGGTCAAGGTCATTCGTACAACCCATGTAGTGTGTCACTTGACAGATTTGATGGGTTGTACGGCTTACACCCTGACAAATCTGCCACCATGGTTTGGTATGCTTTTGCTATTGACCAATCAGAATTCAACAAATTCATCTTAAGGGTAATAATGTTTGGTTGATACTTGCACAGAATCAGGTAGGGGAACAGGATTGGTTAATGATGTAATTCACCGTATTGACACATGATGATACAGGCTGGAAGCTATGGAGGAAGACAGGATGTACCGCTGTTACCGTCTTCCTTTGTTTCCATTCAGCCTCCTGTGTGACCTAGGGTGTTAGGGTGTCCGGTACATCACAGCATTTCGTATTGATGAGGGAACAGCCCTCGAGTTGATGCAGAGTTAAAACAGATGTTACCACTTGAATAAAACCGACAAGCACTGAATAAAACCGACAAACACTGGTATGATGCTGACAAAACTGAAACACAGTCAGGATAATGCAGGATTTGGAAACATGATCTTTTATTTCCCGGACGCTACTCTGCACAGCCAATAGCAGTACCTTAGATGAAAGCCTTAACACTAAGTGTTTATTGTTGATCCAGTATACTGTCTCCATGGTTTTACTGTTTTCTCTGTGTTTCAACGGCTGATGAATTATTTTGACAGGTAAAGATGATGCAAGTGAAAGAGAGGACTGTCTCAGCTGCCTTTTTCGACCTTTGGGTAACCTTAACCTTTTCTTTTTAAAACTATTTTAAACCATGTTAAAAATCTGTTTCGCTTTGAAATAACATAACTGTCTTCCAAATATGATTTGACAATGTTGTCACATATGTTTAATATGTATCAAATGCTTCGCTTTCAGTGAACTTTCACCCTCAAAACAAGTAAGTATTGATTCTATAAGCTGATGTTTTCCATCAAGGGAGACAAATTCTTTTTCATGAGAGATCCTCCTTGGGGTACATATAAGCATTAATATGTCTATTTTAACTCCCTCGGACAGTTGTAACTATATTTTAAATAAACTATTTACAAAACAAAACAACGTTTTTGTCTTGTTTGACCACCCCTACAGAACCCAGAATGAACCCGTCCGCCAAGAACAGGTAATTCTAGGCGCTAACCTCGTGCCTCACTTTCCATGCTGTCGTTCTTCAGTATCGACGTATGTGTCCATCAGCCTGTGTTACATGTTGAATTTCTTCCCTTACGATTTCAAGACGAGTTCTTCAGAAACAATTACTGAATGTATGGTTGTCTCTTATTCGCATGGGCTATAACTGATAAATGTTTTTGAAAGTTTCATTCATCATTTGTTGTAACTTAAGTCTTAGTCCCTGTCGGTTGCCATGTGCTTGTCAAGATGGCGGACAGGAGACGCATACACTTTATGTATTTTTCCAAACTTTGCGGGCGGGGGTGATATCTGGGGTCAGGACCCCTTTTCCAAGAGATCACAGAAGAAGAAATCGTCCATGAAGTTGATGATTGAAAGTGCGATGTCCGGGCGCCTTCAGGAGCTTGGCTCGCAACGTGTAAATCCCGTTGGTCCAGGTGTCTCTGCTTGGGACGGTGGCGGCCTGGGCTCTGGCCCGGTGAACGCACCTATCCCTGGGCAACCTACCCTGAGTCTCGGCTCGGGGGATGGTCTGTCTGCTATTCCTAGTGCTGACCCGGTAGGGTGCAGGATTTGTCTGCCACTTTGTCTGCGCCTGAGCATACCGGGGCAACCAGGTCCCTTGGCACCCAGAGGCTTGGCTGGGCAGACTGGGCGGCCTGCTTTGGCAGTTCCTACCTTGTTGCCTCAGCCCCGCGGCTTGGAGACAGGGCGATCCGAACCCTCTGGTTCAGTTCTGTCCCTTGAGCCCCTCTGGCGTTCTATGTCGCAGCGCTGCCCACAGAGAGTTCGGTTGGCGTGGTGGTGATAATCCTCTCCTCTCGGGTACACACTCTCGTTTCGACCTACCGGAGCTTAGCAGGTGGTACCCATTGGGAGAGGAGGCACTGTTTGAGCCGCCGGTGGTGGATGAATGCGTCTTTACGTCTGTCACACTTGGTGGTTCCTCTTCCTCCTGGCTTCATTCAGCAGGGCCGGCTACTGCCGCCATTCCTGCCAATGCCCCAGCTCTTAAGTCGGCCTCTATCGCTTCTTTTGAAGAGCAGTATAGGACGGCTCAGCAACTGCGGGTTGCGGTCTACTCAGCATACCTATCTGCACTGCAGAGGGAACTGGTAGATCAGGGAGCGAGTGGCGATCATGCGTCATCCCCCTCATTGGTGAAGCAGTTGACAGACATCCATTTACATCTTGCACGTGACAGTATTCGCTGTTGTGCTAGCATGATGATGGGCGCTGTCATGGCCTGCACCGTTTGTGGCTGTCATTTGCACGCTATTCGCCAGCCACTCAGCAGGCACTACTTTCTCTGCCTTATACTATGGGTTCCACCCTCTACCCTGGGGCACTGAAAGTAGTTCGCGAGGCCGCCAAGGTGGTTAGCACTTTTAAGGACTCCAAGCTCTTACTAGAGCAACCCCTCTTACTAGAGCAACCCCTCTTACTAGAGCAACCCCTCTTACTAGAGCAACCCAAATCTCCCTTGGACGCCCTTGTTGCCTCCCACACATGCAAGCGGAGATTTGCGACTGTGGGAGTGCACTGCCTCATGCCACACGTCCCTGTAGGCGGCTGGCTTACACTCTTCCTCCCGGAATGGCTGAAAGCCACTTCAAATCCCTGGGTCTTGTCCACACTCAGGGATGGCCATATGCCACAGTGGAAGCGAGGTCCGCCACCATTCACCGGGTTGCGGCACACTCTTGTGCCCACCTCCCGGAAAAGGGCGGACATTGTCCGTGTCGAGCTCCTCAGATTGCCAAAGTTCAGAGAACTGTTTTACAGTTTCTTGGGACTCCCACGGATTCAGCTCGGCGGGTCTCCAGTTGCTGTGGGCAACTGTGGATGTGGTGTGGTGGTGTGCATGTCTGAGGATGAGACCTATACAGCAGGCACTGGCTCAGCTGTTGTCCCATTCGGAGAGCTACAAGAAAGTTCAAGCCACTGAAAGACATCATACGAGAAAGTTCACATGCCACATCTAAGGTTTATGCTGTGGCTCTGTCTATTGAGGACCCTCAAGGCTTATATCAAGCGGACATTGGCTATCCGAAGATAACCAATTGTTTTGCTGTTACGCTGGAGGTAAGGCTGGCCTTCCGGCGAACAAGCAGACCATATCTAGATGGCTTGTCTCTTCCATTTGTACGAGCTATACACAGAAAGGGTTAACACCACCTACTGGGTTAAAAGCTCATTCGGTTAGAGCAGTAGCCACATCTAAGGTTTATGCTGTGGCTCTGCCTATTGAGGAGATCTGTTCATGCTATTTGGAGCTGGCCGAGCACGCTTATCCGGCATTGTCAACTTGACCGAGACACTCCAGTGAGCTGCTCGGTTCGGTCAGTCAGTTCTCTCCAGTGGGCAGAGTCATAACTCTCTAGCCGCATTGAGCTTTAGAATTACGATTTTATCTGTTTTTAACTGTGTATGCGGGTTTGCAGTCAACTTTCCTTCCCTTTTACCCTTACTTGGTGTTGTGTTTTTATGGTGATGGTTTGTTCTCCCTGTATATGACAATATTGCACATTATTCCTTAGAAATCTATACTTGGCTGTGGTTTCATGTGATTTTATGTCACTCCTCCCTAGGTAGTTGGGGATGGCCAGATGGGTGGGCACTATTGTTTACTACATAAGTAGTTCACCGCCCATTTTGCATATGAGCAGAATAGATAAGCCTGGACCTCTGGACCCGCCCCTCGCTGATTGGCTGAAGAGGTCAAGTGGCCAGGTAAGGGAGCTGTTCCTTCTTCTTTTATTGTTGGGAAATTCTACTTCTGCCGGGTCTTAGTTTATCAGACAGAATGCCACTCCAGGGCTCTTGTCTTTAGGAGTTCTGTCTTATGCTTATATACTCTAAAGGAGGATCTCTCATGAAAAGAATCCCAACAAACCTGTAGAGGTTGGCTGATTCTTTGATGAGAGTCACCTTTGGCCATTTCCCCACCTCCCTCATTCTATTTCTTCAGCATGGAAAGTGAGGTACTTTAGGTTAGCTTCTAGGAGTTACCTGTTCTGGTGGATGGGTCCATTCTGGGGTTCCAGAAGTTGTTTTTGTTTTGTGAATATCTTATTCAAAATATATAGTTACAACTGTCATAGGGATTAAAATGGACATTTTAATGCTTAGTATGTACCCCCAAGGAGGACTCTCATCAAAGAACCAGCAACCTCTACAGGTTTGTTCAATTTCATAATTGTATATATGATGACTGGTTCTGTGGAGTTCAGGGACCAAATGTGTGTGTGATCATATCCCAATTCCTGGTGGACATTCTGGGTAACAAGCTGAATCTCTCACCATCTTCTTCAGTTTGTATAAACTTTCTGTCCAGCATGGAGTAGCTTGAATTTCATTATCTTTTGATGGGCTAAAATTACAAACTATTCTCAAAATATATAATTTGATCCTCAGTTACCGCCCAAGATGGAAGCGCTTCATAAACAGTGGGTAAGAATGAAATAACTAGTAATTAATTTACAAAACAAATGAACTGTACTGTTTCCATTAGTGACATGTATATTTATGATTGAACTGTGAGTTGTTGGAAAGCTTTGTAAGCATGTTTTTGAATTTGTTGATTCTTACTCTTGCTGTTTAGCCACTGATGTGCTTTGATCCAATACATCATCAACAGTGATACTTCTGAAAGAGCAGTGGTTCTAAATACTGAGTATAATCCTACTTTCTAGATAAATTTTTTTTTTACATTTACATAAGACATTATGACCATCAGATGATTAACTTAGTAGTTACTTGTCTTTTCTTGACATGTCATTGAAAGCCCTTACTTCAGAGTGTTCCATTTGTGGAGATATATAGCTGAAAACATGTTGTGACATATGTTATATTTGGGATAACTTAGTAAAAGTACAGATTCTAGTACTTTTTGGAATGAATCCCATCCGATTCTATATTCACACCCTCAGAGTCAGGCACCTAATTGCCACCTGCACACAAAGTCAGCCGCTGGGCAAAACCAGCCATGGCCAGGCACCTCAAAATGGAAGTCAGACTAGCTGGTAGCTCTAGGCTGCCCAGACTTTGTGTAAATTCTCTGATAAGTGGTATTTGGCAGCCTCCACGGCTGAGAAAGCTATGAAATATCACAATGCCATATTTTAGAAAGTGGTCAAATGTAATGATATGTTTTATTTGGGACTACACTTTCTCAGTAAAAGTACTAGCATTCTATGAGTATTATCTTTTTTGGTTTCATCCATTTATTATCAGTTATTGAGTATACCAAATATAACATATGTTACATTTGACCACTTTCTAAAATGGCATTTGTGTATTTCATTGAAAAACATGTTGTTAGTGAAGTACATCATTTAACGTATGTGATCCATCTATCTCTGCAGCCAGGTGGGGTGGCCTAGTGGTTAAGGTGTTCATTAGATCGCATGAGACTTCAGTTCGATTCCCCACAGAACACGTGAAGCTTCATTGCTTTGTGTCCCACCCGGCCATTGAAATTCGCTGGATTATTGCTTAAAAGTTGGAGTAAAACTAAACTCACTCACTCCTTTGACCCAAACATGAATATTTAGCCATTTATTTCCAGGCTGACTTTCATCCGACACACCCGACAGCTGAGAATTAGTCGGAAACTGTGCAGAGGCAGTGGACACAAAATTCTTTAGTGTCTGGAAAATTATCATCAAGCCGTAACTAGATGCTGCAGCTGGAATATCTACTGACACAGTTATTCTGGGCTGCAATAAAGAGGTCCTCGGCAACCCTGGCTTATTGTAAGAGGTGACTTGATATTAAGGGTGGTCAGACTAAATTGAACTGGTCAATTAGCGTGTCATTGACTTGGATCTATCCTCGTATTGTGTGGTACAAAGCACCGTTACCACAGAACATCTGACTCTTAGTTTGATGACATATTTTATTATATTGGCATGTTGTTAGATATCTGAAGTGAGGGAGTTGATGAATGCTGGCTCTGAAAGGACTGAACTATTACCAGAAGTACGACAGACTGTTCCTGGGGTGAGATTGTTTTTGTTTTTGTTTCCCAATCGCGAACGCTTGGCGGAGAGCTATCTTGACAGTCCCGATTCTTGTTAACGCGATATCTCATGAACAGTTGTACCGTATGTCTTCAAATTTGGTCACGGCCTACATGGGGATTCACGCAGACGCCAGTCGATTTGGGTGACTTTTGACCTTATTTTAAAGCGTTACCCATAATGCTTTCAAACTTATCTAAGCGTGATGTCTCATAAAACATTGCACCTAAATATTTTCAAGTATGTCGACCAGCCTTCATTGAGTGATTATGCAGCAGGCAGATCATTTCCAGGCATCTTGTATGTGACCAAAAATAAAAATGAGTAAATATGTTATAAATATTTCATTCTTCTTTAGTAGGCGTGGAACATTGCCATAAACCAAGTGGCAAAACAATTGTTTAGTAATGCACTCAGGAGTGTTAGTTCAAATGTTGTGGCTAGACTAAACCAGTGATTGCTGTATTGGAACTGCATGTATTTCCACCACTCTCTGTCTCCCACATCAGGATCAGTATAGTTGCTGAGCTTCCCATGGGGTGGATGGTGTACATCCTGCAGCAGGTGCTCCACAACCACATGGTTCTGTGCCAGCAGGTCAAAACAGAGTTACCTCCCTCTTCAGCTACATCAACACTTGGCAGCAGCTGCCTGGCTCCATTGTCAGCTTACTCTTGTTCAGTAAAATTGGAATTCTGTTGTTTATTTTATTTATTGTTAAAGCATTTTATGAGATTGTGGCATTTCTATTATTATAAATGTTGTATCATTAGTTTCCTTTACCAGAGTTATGCACCTTCCAAAAATTATGGGATATGATGTCAGCAAGCATAATGGCTTCTCTGTAGAATGTGTTACTACCTGATTGAAATTAATGTTTGAATGGGAACAACGCGTTTGTTATATGACCTGAGACAGATGATGATGGTGATGATGATGATGATGATGACTGATTTAATTTAATGCACGCATCTAATTTTATGTTGTTGTTGTTGTGTGTTAAGAACTTGAGATGATGTTGTTTCAGTCCAGTCATCCCCATCACCTACTACCTGTACTGCCTGCTTCCTGTAGCCTCTTGTAGACTGTGCAAAGTTGTAGAAGCTGGAAGTCCAGGTAAATGTTCACAGCTTTTCCCACCCCTGGTGAGCAGACTAGGTATGACCGAACATGCTAGTTGTGTCCTGCAGTTTTCAGGGGCTAGTTGCATGTTAGCGTGTTATCTGAGGATCTATTGGTACACAACGTAAAATTGTTTCATTTCATAGCTTATAATAGCTGGAGGAATGTTTTACAGATTGCAGGTCTAGAAGCGAGCAGTGTCTGTGTGTTACAATAACAAGTGTCCTAAGCTGTCACAGCCTCTGTTACCGCCTGCAGCATGCTGGGACTGGAGATAGTGGTGAGGAATATGCGTGTGTGGTGTTACAGAGATAGTGGTGAGGAATACATTGTGTGGTGTTACAGAGATAGTGGTGAGGAATATATTGTATGGTGGTACAGAGATAGTGGTGGAGGAATTACATTGTGTAGTTTTACAGAGATAGTGGTGAGGAATACATTGTGTAGTGTTACAGAGATAGTGGTGAGAAATACATTGTGTGTCACAGTGTTACATTGTGAGATGTTAGTGGTGAGGAGGAATACATTGTGTAGTGTTACTGAGATAGTGGTGAGGAATTACATTGTGTAGTGTTACAGAGATAGTGGTGAGGGAATACATTGTGTGGTGTTACAGAGATAGTGGTGAGGAATCACATTGTGTGTTACAGTATGTTATACTGTGCAGAGATAGTGAGGAATACATTGTGTAGTGTTACAGAATATGGTGAGGAACATTGTGTGAGTCACACTTTACAGAGATAGTGGTGAGGAATATATTGTATGGTGTTACAGAGATAGTGGTGAGGAATACACTATGTAGTGTTACAGAGATAGTGGTGAGGAATATATTGTGTAGTGTTACAGAGATAGTGGTGAGGAATATATTGTGGGTGTTACAGAGATAGTGGTGAGGAATACATTGTAGTGTTACAGAGATAGTGGTGAGGAATATATTGTAGGGTGTTACAGAGATAGTGGTGAGGAATACATTGTGTAGTGTTACAGAGATAGTGGTGAGGAATACATTGTGTAGTGTTACAGAGATAGTGGTGAGGAATATATTGTGTGGTGTTACAGAGATAGTGGTGAGGGAATACATTGTAGTGTTACAGAGATGGTGGTGGAGGGACATTGTGTAGTGTTACAGAGATAGTGGTGGAGGAATACATTGTGTAGTTTTACAGAGATAGTGGTGAGGAATACATTGTGTAGTTTTACACAGATAGTGGTGAGAAATATATTGTGTAGCGTTAGAGAAATAGTGGTGAAGAATATATTGCGGTATATGTTACAGGGTGTCATGTCATATATATATATATATATATATATATATATATATATATATATATATATATATATACTATGCATGGAGATTAAGTCAAAAAGGTAATGTTGTATCACCCATGATTTGTGGCATTGTATCAGCAATCCTCCTTTATGACTGGAGAAATACATGTGCAATGACAATCCTCAGGAATACAAGTTGTCTCCAGCAATTCTAGTCTTCCATTCTGTTGGACAGGTCCAAGGCTTCTTCCAGAGGGAGCTGCCGTTCATTGACTCTGTCTGTATTGGCTCTCTGGTCAGTGACATCGGGTCTTCTAACACTCTACAAGGTCAGTGATATCGCAATCTCTCAACACTTCCAAAGGTCAGTGATATCGGGTCTTCAACACTTCCAAGGTCAGTGATATCGGGTCTTCAACACTTCCAAGGTCAGTGACATAGGGTCTTCTAACACTCCAAGGTCAGTGATATTGGGTTCCTTAACACTTCCAAGGTCAGTGACATCGGGTCTTCTAACACTTCCGGGTCAGTGGATATTGTATCTTAACACTCCAAGGTCGGTGATATCAAGGAAGTGTGGATGAATGCTGGCGACAATGAGTTCAGTGAAAATACTTAGTCAAAAATTATATAGAGAATCTTACCCAAGTATTCAGGGCTATGTCGAAAGCATTGTGGGACGGCCAGGGCATTGTACAAAACCTACTGTCAAAACGAGCATCTCCTAGGTTGCTGCTAAGCTGCGTGTGTAATATGTTTCAGTTTTCGCCCACGGCTGGTTGCTAAGCCAGGTGCTGTTGGCAGTGTTCCTCTTTTCCTGTCCCTGTCACGAACGCCAACTATACTCTGTGTGAGAAGCACCAGGTTACTTAGATCAACTGAAGTAGCATTTCACCTCATCAACATATGAAGTATATATGTATATGACTTTCATTCTGCATGTTAAATGAAATCCCCAGTGGGAATTTGAGGTTGCACTGTCTCACTAGTGGACTGGGAGCTCAGTCAGTGTTGATTGATGCTCATGATATCACTGATTGTCTTGTTTAGGTTTGAGTACCAGATGCCACTATTATGTTGTAAGTAACTAAGTACGCGGTCTTAAACAACATCAAAATAACTATATTGAATAAAATCACTTGAACTGAATGTATAAAATAAATATATAAAATAAATATATAGCCTGTGATAAGCTTTCACCCACCCATCTGCTGAGTGATTCGAAACAATAGTACTATATATCATGACATGTTGTTATTGAATGCATATCATGTGACATGTTAATATTGAATGTATATCATGTGACATGTTTTTATTGAATGTATATCATGTGACATGTTGTTATTGAATGCATATCATGACATGTTATTGAATGTATATCATGTGACATGTTATTGAATGTATATCGCGTGACATGTTGTTATTAATGTATATCATGCGACATGTTGTTATTGAATGTATATCATGACATGTTGTTATTGAATGTATATCCTGTGTAAGTAGCCTCATCTCAGGGATGCTGGCCTCCCAAGCAGCAGTCATGGTTTATCAGTAAGTGCTGGCAGACAGCTGTTGTAAACCTCTTCATCTTAATGCCGCAACACCTGATCTGTTTCATGGCTTCGACATTTTTGTCATTTAGGAGTTGAGTAGCTACATGCCTGTAGAAGCTGATTTTATTAATGAAAATCCTCGTGAGTTATTCTAGAAATATGGTCAAAAATGGAATACAGATAGGTCAGCACCATCTAAATGTAACTTGTTATTTTTACTACTGTTGTAGTGTAAGAGTTATTGTATGGTGTGAGGACATAACATGGAGGACATAACATGGAGGACATAACATGAGCAGCTTGTTTCAGGACTGGGTGTCTTGACCAGCAGGGACAAGAACAACAACAGAATGTCAGGGGTCATCATGGGCACACAGGTACATGTTCCACCGGTCTAGGGGAGTTTTGTCGGGCTTCTAGGGGAACTGGGCCCATGGGTTGAGGGTAAAGTGCTGTTCTTGGGGTCTGAGGAAGAACTGGACTGCAGGTTAATTGGGAGTGTTGTCCCTCCTTAACTGGGGAGCTACTGTGGGGTTGTGCAGAACAGCTGGTCAAAAGACTGGGTTCGGGGAATGTTGGCTATGGGGTCAGGAATGTTATCCCTTGGGGCTTGAGGGCAT